GCCAGACGCCCAGATGTGGATTGGGAAAGGGCACGTTCTCCCCATTGTCTGCGGGGAGGGTCCCTCGGATCTCTTTTAGCACGTTGTTAAATGGCGATTTTTTTTTTCCCCCTCTTTTCTTTTTTTCTTCCCTTTTTTTTTCGCCAAAGAGCAGTCGAACAAGTTTGTTTAGAAAGTGGTTTTCGACTGGGGAAGCTTTCGCGCGGGAGGAACTCGTAGCTTTAACAAACTGAAACAAAGATTTATTAGTTGCTGGCTTCCCCCTCCTTCCCCGTAATAGGAAACATCGCCTTAAAATTCCGCGGGTTTCTAGGCGTTTTGCCCTCGCTTTTGCACTTTTGCATTTCCCCTGGATGGCTCCAGTGCGGAATAAGCCAAGGAAAGAGAAGGAAAAAAAAGGAAAGAGAAACGAGGAGGGGGGAAGAACAGAAAAAAAGGGAAGGAAGCATTGGCCTCTGTGGCGCGAATCAGAGCATCGCAAATGATGCCGGGGGTGCGGGGGGGACAACGGCGCGGCCACGGATCTGCCCTGCTAAACCCCGGCGGCCCCAGGGCCCGGGGATGCTCGGCGGCCCCGGCAGCACATCGCTCCCCCGGCCCGGCACCGGGCTCCCTAGAGGAGGAGGCGAACCTATAGATGTATATGTATATGTGTACGTACACATTTTTACATGTATATCTATATATATGTGTATACGGACACGCTCGGCTGTTGGCCCGAGAGCTTGCGAAGGGCTGCGGTGGCGGTGGTGGCTCCTGACTAACTGGCGTCTCGCATCTCCCTCCCTCTCCCCCCATTTCCAAAGGTTTGGTTCAAGAACCGCAGAGCCAAATGGAGAAAGAGAGAAAGGAACCAGCAAGCCGAGCTTTGCAAAAACGGCTTCGGTCCACAGTTTAACGGCCTGATGCAGCCCTACGATGACATGTACCCCGGCTACTCGTACAACAACTGGGCGGCCAAGGGCCTGACCTCCGCCTCCCTCTCCACCAAAAGCTTTCCTTTCTTCAACTCCATGAATGTCAACCCTCTGTCTTCTCAGAGCATGTTCTCCCCTCCAAACTCCATCTCCTCCATGAGTATGTCTTCAAGCATGGTACCCTCTGCAGTCACCGGGGTCCCCGGCTCCAGCCTCAACAGCCTGAATAACTTGAACAACTTGAGCAATCCCTCCCTGAATTCTGCAGTGCCAACGCCAGCTTGTCCTTATGCTCCTCCGACACCTCCGTACGTTTATAGGGACACATGTAACTCGAGCTTGGCGAGTCTGAGACTTAAAGCCAAGCAGCACTCCAGTTTTGGCTATGCCAGTGTGCAGAACCCCGCTTCCAACCTGAGCGCTTGCCAGTACGCGGTGGACAGACCCGTGTGAGACACCCGAGTAGGAAACACTGCATGGGAATCTCTCCCCGTTTCCCGCAGAGACTGAGAATTACGCTAGAAAGTAATGGGCACTAGAGAGAAAGAGAAAGGAGGAAAAATCAGACAGAGAGAGGGAGAGGGCGAGAGAGAGAGAGAGAGGGAGAGGAAAAAAAGAGGAAACCACTGAAATAAGATAGTTCCTTTGTTTTCAAAGGACCTCCTACAGATTCTGAGATCTTTCTTTCACTAAGAGTATTTCAACAGTTACAAGGACATATATATATATATATATATGGACAAATGTTTGAATGGATATGATATGACATTTTAATGTTACTATAAGCTTGTTATTTTTTAAGTTTAGCATTGTTAACATAAAAATGACTGAAAGGATGTATATATATCGAAATGTCAAATTAATTTTATAAAAGCAGTTGTTAGTAATATCACAACAGTGTTTTTAAAAGGTTAGGCTTTAAAATAAAGCATGTTACACAGAAGCGATTAGGATTTTTTCGCTTGCGAGCAAGGGAATGTATATACTAAATGCGACACTGTATGTTTCTAACATATAATTATTAAAAAAAAATTGTGTGAATATCAGTTTTAGAATAGTACCTCTGGTGGATGCAATGATGTTTCTGATATTGCAATGTAAAACATGCCCTGTGTATAACATTTCGTACAATATTATTGTTTTACTTTTCAGCAAACATGAAAAAAAATGTGTTTTATTTCATGGGAGTAAAATATACAGCATACAGTTTTGTCTGCATTTTTTTTTACTGAGCCAAGCTGCGCAGCGGTAACTGGTCTGCAGTGATTGACTGATCGTTGACACTGGATCTCGTTCTCTGGAAACACAGGGCAGGACTTTTTATTGCAATACAAATAAATGCTGGCAGGTTTTTTTCACGTAAAAAAAAAAAAAAAAAAAAAAAAAAAAAAAAAAAAAAAAAAAAAAAAAAAGAACCGCGGGGCTCGGAGAGGCTGCCTTCCGTGCGGGGATCCCTTCGTTCCCCCGCGCAGCCCCGGGAAAATGGGTTATTTGACATCGCTGGCCTCGAGAATTACCAGCCACAAAGTTGCTGTATCTCCAGCATAAATTTCTCCCGCTGTGAAGGAAGCTTTTATGACATTAAAGAAGAGGGGGTGGGGAGAAAAAAAAAAAAAAAAGGAAAAGCCAGTTTGCAAACAAACTGCTCCCGTTCAAAATAATCTGTCCCCTTTGCCGCCCCTTGCGCTCACCTTCTCCCTTCAGCGAGGAGATCCTTCATGTAATATTACATTTCTATTTCCAAATCCCCCTTTCAGACATGAAGAGAAACAAAAAGCAGCCCAAATAACCGCAGCCCCGCGGAGCGCAGGGGGTGAGAGGTTAGCCCCGAGTTTCCTGCGACTTCGTGCTGCAACACGTCGTTGAAGGGAAAGGTCGTGCTCTCGTGTGTTTTGTTTTAAGTAATATCGACCCATTCATTCTCAACCTGCTTGTTCGTGAAATTATACGGGATTATAACTTTGCCATCGCCGGACAATTGAAACAAATCAAGATAAATTGCCGCTCGGCCCTCCCATCGGCTCACACGCCGGGCGGGCAAGGAGGGGCTGGCGGGGGGCGGCGGGAATATCGAGCTGCGGAGAAATTCCGCAGGCGCGGAAGCTGGCGAGGCGCGCAGGGGACGGCAGGGAGGGAAACTCACGGCGGTGGGAGCGGGCTTGCCCCTTGCGCGGCCTCTGCGCGCTCCTTGCGCGCTTTTGGGAGCCCTCGCCCAACCCCCCGGCTCCCTCGGCGGCCGGCCCTGCTCTTTCCC